CAAAAAACGTTGCCTTGTATTTCAACAGAGTTTAGGTGAAGACTTAGGCTGTGGCAGAAGAGGTCTTGCAGCCTCCAGACACATGACTCCCAACCATTGGGACTGTGGGTTTGCATTTCTCTCTACGAAGTGCTGATCTACAGGACCTAGCAGAGTGCCCAGTTCTCTCTGGAACACCCACCCTCTGCACCGCCTCGTGCCCATGGCAAAGCAAGTGTTGGGAAGAGGAAGTGGGACTGTACCTCGCAGAGGTATCTCCTGGCACTGGATCTCCTCCTGCAAAACAGTGCACTTCCTCAGCCTGCCCAGCCCCTTGTCTACCGAGGAAGTAGCCAAAATCCTGTAGAATGAGAAAAGAGGTGGAAAAGAGGGAAGGTGGCACAACCAGGCAGAGTCCTTTGGCAGTGCAGTGCGAAACAATCACCTGTGTGCCAGGGTGGCCACTCATTATTCTGACAATGTCTCTTAATTAACTGGACTCCAGTGTGGTTTTGAGCTGAATCAGCCACTAAGAGGAAACCACTTATTTTTTCCTACAAATCATCATCCTTCCCGTTAGCTGAACTATGAAATCAAGAGAGCTATCCCAGACCAAGGAAGAGGTCTGCAAGTGACTCGCCCATAAAATACTGGAGGTAAAGGGAGGCCGGAGGTGCAGTGAGAAATTCCAACCTCCACACTGGGAAATGGCAGCATTGCTGTATGAAATGGAGACTGTTCTTCGAGTCAGCCAATTTCTGCTCAGGAGTAGAAAAGTTTCTTTACTCCGAAACTTAAAATACGCTGTCTGCTACACAGCCTGAGCAATCTGCTTAGCATAATATACGTTATCGCTATAGCAATCACTTGTGGTTAGCTTCTATTCACCAGCTGAGCCATCCACTTCTCTTCTCCTACAGACCCAATAGTCAAAATACAGCAGTTTCCAGCTCTTTATGGTCTTCAGACCAAGCTCACAACATAACTCTTGAGAGCTGGTGGGTGCCGTGACTGCTGCAGACCCAGAAATGGCGCAGTATGCCAGGAAGTACTGCAAAAACCCAGCTGCTTGTTTCTGCCATTTGGTTAAACGAGCAGACATCCTTTCTGTACAGTGACATGACATAGCTGTGGGTGAGGGGAGAAGCACTGTGAAGGGCTCTGTTTTGGGGCCAGCCTTGTTTAATATCTTTAT